AAATTAAATGGAAATTTTCTTCAGTTAACAACTAATTTTGTTAAAAAATGAAACAATCGTTTGGTATCAGAACAAGATATATGTGACAAGATATATTATTTTACATAACTAATAGATTTTGCTTCTCAGGAATATTCTGTTTCAGAATTGTAAGTGCAAAGAACGAAAGATTTGAACCACCAGTCCTTATCATTTTGCAAAGAGACTTGGTACAAAAAGAAGAATTGCCTTGGGAGACAAAAAAATGCAAAAGGTGCTGACTATTAAAATTCAAAATTTTATTATAAGAAATTTGAATTTGCAACTTTTTAACACGTTCACGCCGGGGTGACCCATCGGTGGGTCACGCTAGATTTTCTCATCTTGGCGGCGCACCGGAGTAAAAACTGGTAACAAATAAATTTCATTTTTTAGTTCTTTTCCGGGAAAAATAAAAATCCATAACTGCCAATTGTTTTTAACGGATGCAATTTTTATATTGAATTGCTTCTTCGCCTTGATAAATTTCCTTACAGTAAATTGCTATTGTTGAGAATAGATTAACTCCTCCCGAATATTATCTAATATTGAAATAGTTCTTCTACCAGTATTTTCACCTTTCCCGGCGTGAACGTGTTAAAGCATATTTGTTTCAGTTTACCATTGAAAAAGAAGGCAAGAAATGTTTGTATATGTATATGAATAATAGGAAGTGCAAGTAAATTGTATATGAATAATAGGAAGTGCAAGTCATAGCGGTAGATACGATTGAATTTCTACCACTTTTTACATAAATAGTTGCCTATGGCATCCCTGCGAAAAAAAGGGAACATTTGCATCTAAACTGTTGAATAACTTTCCTAATAAGTGACTAAAACTAAGAGGTAATTTATATGAACTATCGATTTAAATGGTGGGCAAAATATTTTTGAATTAATTTCAGTAAATCAATAACGATTCACTGGAAAATCAGAGAAAAAAAAGACAAAAAGCGGAGAACGTTGGTATTAACCCTTGGTATAACCCTTTAACCCATTACAAGCGGGTCACGTAAAAAATACGTTTTTGAAATCTCTGCAATCCATACAAACGTTTAAAAAGTAGTAGCAAAACTACTTCGTTTTCGCTCTGTTTTTCAAGGAAAATATCCACTCATGATTACCATAGCCATAAATGATTCAGTATATATGTAATCAGTGCTACAATCGTTCGTCGTAATTTTTTTTTGAAATTCAAGTTGTATATATAGATACAAGTTTGCTCCAGCATTTATGAAATTTTGCTTACCACTTTTTTCAAAAATTTTAATTGTTAGCAGCTGTAATACATTATTTGGAAAAGTTGCCCGCATGAAAGGCTGCCAACTTTCTACGCTTTTAGTAAAAATTTGTTCCAGTGTTAGCTAAGTTAATATTTTAATGCATTATTTTTTTATTAGTTTAAGCTTATTTTCCATACCACTACACCCAAATGATTTAAATGTATATATGCAACGACATTTTGTTCCAGCTATTTCGACCAACTTTCACCTATCAGTTGCGCTTCGGCGATTTATTATTTATTTCCACTCAGATGAATTAGTTGGAGCCCCTAGCGGGGCTGATGCGAAGATAACCAACACATATGAGTATGAGAGCAATTTCGAGGTGAAATTTTTAAAATATAGGAAAAATTACCAAAAATTCTAAAAACTTTGTGTTTTAAATGTTTAAAACTCTGAAAAAAATTTTATAAAACGCGTAGTAGTCGGCAGACCTGCGCATGCAATGTGTTAACTGGGGTTCTACAGGCAACTAAAAATTTAAAAAGTGGTAGAAACTCAGTTCATTTTTAATAATATATTATCTCCTTAATTATTTAATCGCAACTACAACTATGACTTACATTTCAAATTATTCATATTTAAAGAAAAAACATTGCTTTCATTCACTTTCAATAGTAAACTATAAAAATAAATGCCGTAAACATTTACCAATTTTAATCACTTTTAATAAAATTTCCAAGCTTATTAGTCACCACTTTTTGCAGTTTCATTCTCTTGTGGCCAGCCTACTTCAATGTGCACCCATGCAAACCACCGATTTTACATTAGCGATTTATGCAAACCACCTAATTTTATAACAGTCATTGAACTGCTGACCCAATGTTTTGGGTATACTAATGTCTAATTTCTGTAGCCTTGTAATTTTGAACCCAATCAAGAAGACAAGGGAGCTTCTGAATCAAGTATTGAGAGAAATTTGCTTTCGTGGAGGACTTTTTGATGGAACTAACCGGCATTTACGTTACATGGAGTGATGAACCACGAAAACCTACCGCGGTTAGCCAGACGGCAAGGGAACTCTAATCCATGGTCCGTCTACCACTGAGGACATTTTACGTCAGGGTGAAAAAAGTAGTAGTACATATTTGCATGTAACAAATACGTATTGTTTTTGATTATGTACCACTTTAGCTGTAAAAAAGCACTAAGCTGTGATCAGTAACAAAAATAAATACTTATGGCTAAGGTGACCAGCTCCGTTAAATAACTAAAATACTGGTCGCAAAATTTCTAAAGAACGTTGGAAAATTCACCTCTTTGACTTTTTTTAAGAATTATTTCTGATAGAGAATCTCTGAGAGAGATCTCTGTTTTAAGAATATTAATTTAGAATATTAATAATTCATATAAAAAATTTATTACCAGTTTTTCAGTTTATTGAGGAAACTGGTATCTTTACTTATGGCATACTTACCAAATTTTCCTCATTTGGTGGAAAATTTTCTTTTAAACCCTTATCATTCCGAGTACTTTTTAAAACTGTTTGATCTAATATCAGCACTATAGCATTTAAAACACGCAATAGTATTATTAAACAATTTTAAAATTGTTTAAACAATGTGGTTACTAATTATTAAGCTATAAAATTTCTTAATTTTAAAGTGGTGACAATTGATGGTGCCACCGTGGGGACATCGGAGTGCAAAGGGTTCATATTTAATGTGGAGACAAAATTTATACATTATTCTTCTTTTAACAATTTTAATTCAAATTGATTTTGACTAACACTACATTTAAATAGTTCAACCATGCTTAGATTAGGCCAAGTAGTTATTTTATTGTGTTGCTAGTGTTGGCCAAATGTGAATTGAATGTCAGTTTACTATGCCACATCAATTTGCATATCACGTGGATCAGAAGATAGAGGCTCGCCAGGTTCGAATCCAAGCGGAGGCTGGTTAATAAGAATTTTGCTCCTGGCACACACGAACTACAGTGGTGACGTAAAATATCCCCAGTGGTAGAGGGATCATGGATTAGAATACACTAGCCGTCGGGCTCACCCTGTAAGGTTTTCGAGGTTTTCATCTCCATGCAACTCTAATGTTGGTTAGTTCCATCAATACACGAACCCTAATTTGTCCCAATGCTTGATCCATGAGTTCCCTTGTCTTCTGGGTTATGTTCAAAATTACTAGGCCATGGAGCTGAACATTGATAGTCGTTAACTCAGAATTGGGTCAGCTGCTCAACGTCGGTTTCAAAATGAAAATTACCCATTTGAAGAACACTTTTTTTAAAGAACATGGAGATATGCAGGTATGATGGAACATTTGTAAATAGCCATGGATAATGGTAGTCAGAACTGACTCTTTCTGCAAAATAAACCCTAATAATGAAACACTTGTACTACCACTTTTTCCTTTTTTTGCAAAAAGAATCGCTTATTATTATTTTTTTTTAAAAAAAGGAGAAACGCTAGACACAAATAGATTATGCAATCAAGGTATACTTTCTTTTTCATGCATCTATCAATTATCTGAAAATGATTACCTATACATTAAGGAAGCAAAAAAAATATTGTAATCAAATATCGAATTTTTATAAACGAAACTTCATTCAGTATAACTAAAGATAAAAATAAACATTTCTGATTGAATCATGCAATAGAACATTCAGTAAAATGGAATTTAATTTGAAATACATTTTTATTGATAAACATTTGAGATGACTAATAAGATGCTTGGATAGAAAGAGAAAAAATTCACCAGTTTTTATAAAACTTGGCAAAAAGTGAGGGATAAATGAAAAGATTTTAATAAAAAAAGCACCGCGAAGATAAAAGAGTTAAACAGGTAATGTACAGTTGCATTTTCAGGTATGTATCGTTGTCTGAAAATGATTACCATGAGTTTATTATTTGAACATATCAGTAATCGTATGCATAGCTAAAAGATATACAATTAATATCTTTTATATTAAAGGTATTAAAGGTATACATTAGCAAAACAAAATTCTAAAAAATGCATCGAATTAATGTGAAGGACGTAATTTTAATCGGCAAAACTGAAGATAAACATTGCTGATTGAATCCCACATTACCACATTCAGAAAAGTGGAAATTAACTTCAATTGTTTTTTCGACTGATGAACATTTGAGATGNTCGTCGGCGCCCCTAAATGCATTAGCAATAATAGTATAAAAAGGGATCTTAAAATTGATGACATCAACGTCTATATAAAAAATTTAAACCAAAATTTCTACGATGAAGCAAAAACCTGTACCACCAGCAATTTTAACTCACTCCTAGATATTGAATTAATTGACGACAACACTAAATTTAGCCCAATCACTGCCTTTTTCCTTAGGGATATGACGTAGCCCTAACACACGAAATACACTCTCGATTTTTGGTGCTGAGCACCACCTCTTCCCCCCATCTCCATTCCACCTCACTACTCCTCATCATCGAATTACTACTACAGATGAATCGGTTAATGCCGCTTCGCGGCAGCGCACCGAGATTTATATGATTTCTACCATTCTACCATTCTACAAAAAAAAATTAAATGTGTCGAATTTTTTTAAATATAATTTTAATTGGTAAAACTGAAGATAAAAATAAACACTGCTGATTTAATCACACATCAGATTAAGTAAAGTGAAATTTAATTTGAAATGCATTTTGATTTTGATTGATAAATATTTGAGGCGAATAATAGGTGATGAGATTAGATAGAATGAAAAAGAACTCACCTATTTTAATAACACTTGGTAAAGATTGAGCGATAAATGAAAGATTTAAGAAATGCACCACGAGGAAGAGGCTAATGTAACTCTCCAAAAAGAAATGTTTGAGATTCGGCATTTCAACTGCGCTAAAAGCCTTCCATGACCGCGCTTGGCACTGCGGCAGTGATGCTGCCGAAAAACCTTTTCTCATTTGGATAACATAGCGCATGCGCTCTAATCCGCGCCCTCGTCTCTCCAGAAACGTGCTTTTCAGGAGAATCCGATACAACGAGGAAATAAAAACAGATCGTTAGTTCTTATTGTCTCTTAAAATAATGTGCAACTTAAGTTAGAGCAAATTTTTATTTTAAAATTGAGGAAAATTCAAAAAATAACATCTCTATAATTACATAATTTTTTTTTTGTTCTTCAAGAACGAAAACGATTTTTTTAGAATATTTAAAAAACTTTTTAATAATAGCTTAGTTCTTAAAGAAAACGATTTTTATTTTCAGAAAAGAAAACGATCTTTAAACGTAAAATAACAAAAATATTTTTTTTTAAATTTCAGTCCCGCTTCACGATGCGAGTTCCTAATTTTAATTAAAAATTCTTATTGATATTACATCAAAATTTTATCACTAGCAAGCAAAACTTTATTTGGAAGTTTTTTTCTTTTGCTAATCTCAGTTTACTTTTAATGTTTTGTAAATGAAATTCTTAAGAAATACATTCTTTCGGAGTTCAACTCAATTTTATATCATATATTCGCGCCATCTATTGTCGCATTAATAAACTTACGTGCTTTTACGAAACAAATCTGAAATTGCAAAACAATTTTATCCTTTAAATTTAATTACATGTTGTCTTTTTTAAGATTCTTTTTAATTCCTTTTTTTTAAAATCTGTCCGAATCAAGTGAACAAAATATACATTGAATGGAAAATGAAATAAACTAATCACTTTGTAAATGTTATAAGGCATTCATAATGTATTCTGAATGATTATAAGGTGTATAATAAATAGCGGGAAGAAACATTTGGCATTATTTTTTATCGTAACAGAAAACGTTAGAGCAATCGAAAATACTTGTAGCAGCTCTCAAATTTTTTTCGAGCAATAATACTTTTACCTGTAGCTTAAAATCTTTCGTCACCTTGTGTAAATGAAATATAACTAAGAAAAAAAATAAAAATTGCTGGTTTGGGTGAAATTGAGTGAAACTACAGTAGGAAAATATATCATTTAAAGTATTAAAAATGTTCCATAAGTATAATTTATTTTCTGAAAATTATTTAGAATTTATTTGATTAGAACTTCGCGGCTATTAATGTTTATCTCCGATTTCAAATAAATTTTGTCAAAATTTTAATTAAAAGCAGTTATCTTGAAGAAAACATTTTAAAATTCTTTGCTTTAGTTTCTCTTACTTCTTTTTACAACTTGTATGTACTAAATATTATTTAATTTATAATTTCACTAATTTTCTAATAACTAATTAGAAGATGTGGTGTACAGTTTGATAAACCTGTTAAATGCTTCTCCTTCATAGCTCATACCATGAAAAAGCTGAAATTAGCTGACAAGCTGTTGTTTAATATGCAAAACTTTAAAATCCCGAGAAGATGCTTTTCCGCCGTGGAAAATACCAAGAGCGAAAACTTCCTTTTTCTAGAAAACCCTGTAAAATTGCTTATCCTTTATAATACAAGTCGTTAGGAAAAAAATACTCGTCGGTAACTATTTCATATTAGATATAGCTTGAAATACGTGTTTGATAAATGGATGCACCAGGATTACCAGGATTAAATGGATTAAAGGATTACCAGGGTTCCTAAGATCCATAAATAATATTCTAAGCTAATATTCCGCTAATATTCTAAGAAGAAAGTTCCTAATTTCTTTTTAATTACTTTTCACTTTAAAATTTCCATGCCGCTGATTTCATATTTAGATATATTTACTTCGAAATAGTTAGCATAATGGTTAGAAAAAACTGACTAAAAAACATTTCAATTTCTTAATTTAATTTTCAGATTTTGAAATATTTAACCTTTCACCTGCTGGACATGTATTTTGCACTGATGAAAAAGTGCTTTCATGAAAAACGTGGATGCAGTTTTTGACAAAAATTAAGGGAAAGTTTTCTTCAACTATCCACCAATTTAGTAAACAAAAACGTATTAATTCTTGATTTCCGAGTAAGATATATGCATGGAGGCCAACTGGTAAACTTTGTACAAAAGTTTTAATGAATTGGTAGCAAATAGTAAAACTTGTAGAATAAGGATAATTACAGCCATTCTTTAACACTAACATACCATAACAGGTCAAATGACCGTTTAAGAACTTTTGCATCGAAAATGCAATTATAATCTTACCGTTTTTGCAGATATGATTTTATGACTTTTTTTAACAATTGTATACAGTTAATAGCTCATTATTATTTTTTTTTGTATTTTGTTCGTTTCGAATAATACTTGTCGTATACCTATTTCTACCACAACCGGTCATTTGACCGGGAGAGCAATTTATTGCTTTATAAGGTTATCACATCAGAAATTACGATTTAATGCAAGTTCAACGTATTGCATTCGATGAGTTGCACATTTCTACGAAGACTGTTGCGCAGTTAGTTCAGTCAGAATAATTGAATTCAAATTTCAAGAAAGTATCTAAAATTTTAGATTGGCATTTTTGTGTAAAAAAAAGGTGCAAAAAACTAAATGTTTTGGTATGTAGCTTATATTTTATTTTGATAACTTGACTTCATTTTCAACAAACTGTTAGTTTTTACCCAGAAAACTGTCGAAGCAATCAAGACAACACAAGTTTTTAGAAGATATAATATTAACTATAAGGATAATTATAAGAATTATAATTCTTATATATTCTTATAATTATAAGAATAATTGCAAGAATAACTATAAGAATTATAGAAATAATAATAATTACAAGAACTATCTTTGCGGAAAATGTACAGTGGAAACACCTTGTCTATGTAAAAAATGCGTTTTGCAATGAGTTAAAAATTCTTATTCTTTGTGTTTGTAATACATAAAAATCGGCAATATACATTTTTTTAAAATTATAATAAAGTTCATTTTAGCTTATTTCCTTTAGTTTATTTAGTTCATTTGACCGTCTATGGTAGAAATAGATATTTATTAAGTGTTGGTATGCTTAATGTTAAAAGTGTCACCATGAGATAACTGCAATAGTTACATTTTACATGATACTAGATTTACATGATTACTGATCTAGATTTGTAGTGAAGGAAAAAGGACTTATGAAAATACCTAACAAAGCATGACGGAAATTTCGTTACAGAGCGGAACAAGTTGGCCTCCTTGTGTATGTCACGAAATATATAATTTTATGCAATTTGTAGATTTTGGTTGATATTAAATTTTCATTACTTGATGATTAATTGACATATTTATTTTCAGTCATACAGTATGTCACAAAATTTATAATTTTATATAATTAACAGATTTTGGTTGATACTAATATTCAATTTTTGATATTTGATGGTGAATTTTTGATACATTTTGTGACATATAGTATATCACAAAATATATAATTTTATGTAAATCTGACCCCAGATTAATGATAAAAGTAAAAAGTGGTAGTAAGATTTCTTTCCTTTCCTAAAAGAAAAACTGGAAAAATATATTTTACTTCCTTCTTTTTCGGCTGTTAGAATTCAAATGGGGGTGAGATTTTGCCTTACAATTAACATAACATTCCATTCCCGAGATAATTTTTATTTTCAGATACATTCAAATCGTACGAATTAAACAACAAAACTTGATGCTTGCAGTTTGCAATTTTGTACCTATTTTTTCTCTTAAAAGTAATGTGATTTTAAAGACAGAAATTAAACTTAACATAGTTGCTGCTGCATCCGTTGAATTATTAAAAAAAGATTATATTTATTATAGATTAAAGATTATATTAATTAGTCATTAAAGATTTCATTATAACTTTCATGACATAAGGATTTCCTCGTATTGTTCTAGAAAATTTATCAATTGGTTTCCTACTGTTCCAACATAAGTTTCTCATAAATAGATCTCTTTCAGGCTATGAGGAATTCCAGGTTTGATTGTTTAAAGTGGTAGGATGTGGCAAACGGACATTATGTTGCATAATGCCAGACTGTACCTACTCCTCCATAGGCACGTGTCAAAGAATTTAGAAAAGAGAAGAAGGCCTGCTCTTCCAATACCTAACTAACTCGGAGAACTGCTAGGTTCGGTACGCACTATTCCAGAAAAGCAACTTACAGGGTGAGCAACACACTCAGATTTAGCAAAGTGACAGTGTTGTTGTTAATTTGCGTCGCACTAGAGCTGCACAATGGGCTATTGGCGACGGTCTGGGAAACATCCCGGAGGATGATCCGAAGACATGTCATCACAATTTTGATCCTCTGTGAAGGGGAGGGCACCCCCGCTTCGGTAGCCCGACGACCTGCACGCGAAGTCGAGCACTTTACTGTAGCGCAGTTTAACGAGGACCAATACCGCACACCCTCGGTCTCTACGCAGACTGATCCAAGTGGTCAACCACCCTCACACTGACAGCAGCCAGTGATGCTTGACTTCGCAAAGTGACAATGAGAACGTCAACTGTGAACAGGTTGCTGGACAACTTTACGTGCATGGTTGGGTACGCTGCCTCCCGCCAACCGCAATTTTATCCTTTCTTTCTATGTCAAAATGTGCAAGCAGATTTAAATGTATTCTCAAAGAAATATCCTAATAGTACAGTACTGTTTATCAATAGTGTAAAAATACAGATCAAACTAACGATAAAAAAAAGAGAAAACTTTTCTACTTCACCCCCAACGCTTCTCCAATCCCAGTATTGGTTAGGAGGAGAGGAGGGTGCAAATCTGTTTCAAGAATCTCTGTTGTTGTGCCCCTAAACGTTGTTTTTTCCTTCATACACAGGGACCGCACCTAACCTCGGGGAACTGGTTTACGTTATATCAGTGAAAGCTAGACTTCTTCCCCTATGTATATGATTTGCATGTGCCGACCGAGCTGAATAAGGGTCAGGGAACTGGCCTCGCATCAGAAAGTGTCTGGGTCCAAATCCAAGGCATGGTCGTTCCTTCATTATCTGTGTTATCTGCCCCTTCTGTTGGAGCATCGTTGGCCGACCTAATATGG